TTTTTTTTTTTTTTTTTTTTTTTTTTTTTTTTTTTCAATTACGTTCACGTCGCGACGACTGCTCGAACTTTTATTGCTATTTAAATTATCGAAACGACCGACGCCTTGGTAATTCGTGACGTAATCGACTCCTTCGATCCTCATTGACCAGTTGCCACTGGCTGAGTCTGTTTTTATTTTCGCGTCCGATAAAATCTGTAGTTCGAGTAATATCCATGTTGCAGGAAGCGTCGCGGACTTTTCGACGCATACGTATCCGCCTTGACGGTCGGCGCTCGTATTCAATTTGCAAACAAAGCCGCGTGGAATCGCGACATTAAGTCTGATGTCGTACGAAGGTCGTTTTTTTGAAAAAGAAATTTTTTTATTTTTTTGAAGTCTTTTTATATACCCAATTTTTCGTTATTTATTTGTTTCTTTCTTTTTATGGTTATAAGGTTTGGTGATAATTTTGGAAAATTGTGAATTTTTTTTTTTTACTTTATAACGTGACTATGACAATATACTGGCGTCGATCGATAAGCCGTGTACCGAACCTTGGTAGGAATCGAAAGCCATCGCTTTGACTTTTACAAGTATCGCCTACCGGTAACCACTGAGGCTTCTGGCTCTGCCAGTGAGCACCGATACACTCTGTGTGTTGGACGCCTGAACTAATGATAATACTAGGCAGTCCTGCTTGGATTGTTGAGCCGTTGCCACATGACGGACCGGGTGGAAGGTGTCGCCCCGTTGTAAATTAACTTTGTCGCTGGACACGGTGTGACAAATAAAAATAAAAAAAAAAGTTAAAAATTTGAAAAAAAAAAGAAAATTCGCGAACGTACGATAATTAAAATTTGCGCGAGCATATATACCGTATAAAAAAAGAATAATTTAACCAGGTAAAACAAAAATGTGAAATTTGTGACACGAGAAAAAAACCACAGTTGTGCAGTGATGTTTACGATGTAAAAAAAAAATCAAAATAGAATGAAGATCCGTAAAATCGAAAAATTTCACGTATTTCACGTTCCTCGTGGTTGTACTTGTAGATAAAATTCAGAGGCGTCGGGAAGTTCTTGAATTTTGAAAATGAGAGCACTGAAGAACCGATTCCTTCTTTGTCGCCAGCAGGAAGTGACGATTCCTGAGGTGAATATTTGTACATATGATAAAAGAAAATTATTTAATACGAATTCGAATTGAATTCAATTACGATCAAGTCCAACTTTCGTTCTCACGTAGGAATCTCGTTTGTCCTGTTGTATCTTTTTTTTTTTGATTTTGTTTTAAAAAAAATTTATTCACTTGCCTCCAGGTTTTTTTTTTTTTTTTTTTTTTT